TATATTTCTGTGATATGCAGATGTTTCGCCCTTTCTATAAAAGAATCTCCTGAGGTTTTCTATATTCCGCAGGTTAGCTGCTTTAAGGTCAATCACGCCTCGTCCTCCTTTGGATCTTGGCAAGTAGAATCTTTCGATCGAACTCTTATTATTATTATTATTATTATTATTATTAGTATTATTATTATTATCATTATAATTATTCTTATTATTATTATAATTACAATTATTATTATTATTATAATTATTATTATTACTATAATTATTATTATTATTATTAATTTTATAATTATTATTATTATTATTATTATTGTTATTAAAATTACTATTATAATTATTATTATTATAATAATAATTATTATTATTATTAGTATTACTATAATTATTATAATTATTATTCTTATTATTATAATTATAATTACTTTAATAATATAATATTAATAATAATAATAAGAATAATTATAATAAAATTATAATGATAATAACAATAATTATAATAATAATATTATAATAATAATAATACTAGTAATTATAATTATAATAACAATAACAATAATTATAATAATAATAATAAGAAGAAGAATAACTATAATAATAATTATAATAATAATAATAAGAATAATCATAATAATCAGTTTAGTTTAGTTTAGTTTAGTTTAGTTTATTGACTACATTACATACATTATTGTACATTTGAAGTCACAGATTTTTGTATTTTAAATATAGTTACATAATTAATATAATCATCGACACTGTAAAAACACTTGTCTATGAGAAAGTTCTTCAATAGTCTATTGAATTTGTAGACATTCATATTTTTCACATCATGTTCTGCGTAACAGTTCACAAATAAATTGTATAATGTGACATCCGGCTTGTTCAATTTGGATAAACGTAATCTAGAAAAGGGAACTCTGATGTTATTTGCTGACCTGGTATCATGATCATGAACATCGGAATGCGTTACATATTTATGGAGGTTTTTATGAATATGTAAAAGCGTTTCATATATAAAAATGCTTGGTAGTGGTAAAATTCGATGTTTTCTAAAAAGTGGTTGGCATGGTGTGCCGTATTTCGAACCATCAATTATGCGAACAGCTGCCTTTTGGAGTGTGAACGCTTTGAAAGATCCAGAAGCGTTCCCCCAAAGGAGGGCACCGTACGACAACTGACTGTGGATTAGGCTGATGTAAACTGTTTTTAGAATACGTTTATCCAAATATTCACTCATCCGTCGAATTGCAAAGATTTGCGTGGATAACCTGGAACAGACGAGATCAATGTGCGGTGACCAAGTAAGTGCCGTATCCAGTTTAACTCCTAGGAGTTTGACAGGATCAGACGCAGGTTGACACTTGTCAGAGCTGAAAACGATAGAAGATGTTTTGGCGTCATTTAGCTTCAGTTTGTTCACCGAGAACCACTTCTTTGCCTGTTCCAAGCCATCAACGCTTAACTCCTGCTGATCCCTTGTTGATAACGTCGTGTCGTCTGCGAACATAAAACACAAACTGTGATCTATTGACGCCGGCAGATCATTTATGTAGGCCAAGAATAAAGGGGGACCTAACACCGAGCCCTGAGGAACTCCGTTATCAATAGGGAGCAGAGTAGAGTCGTAACCATTGCAACTAACATATTGTTTCCGGTTAGTCAAGTATGATCGGAACAAATTTAATTCATTACCTCGTACACCGTAGTACTCCAGTTTTAGAAGCAATATACTAGTATTGACACAATCAAAGGCTTTAGTAAGATCGCACACAGTAGTAAAGGTTTTAAGACCATTATCCATCAACAACATATTCCACTAAATCAAGCAGCTCTTTGATTGTGGAGCTTCCCTTCCGAAATCCATATTGGCATGTGGATAGTAATGAATTTCTTTCGAAATATGATAATAGCTTGTCCTTTAGCAGGATTTCAAAAACTTTCCCTATGATGGGCACAATGGCTATTGGCCGATAATTACATGGGTCATTCGCATCACCCGATTTATGAAGAGGAAGAATCTTTGAAATCTTGAGCGAGTCAGGCCAAACCCCTTCAGAAATGCACTTGTTGTAAAGAATTGAAAGTGGTTCAACAAGAGACTCAATAGCTCTTTTAAGCATTGAGCTATTCAAACTGTAGTAGTCCAAGCAAGGAGAGTTGCTAAGCTTGAGAATAGCTTCGGCAACATCAGACTCTACAATTGGAGCAATAAAGAAAGACATAGATGGTTTTCGGACCTTGTTCAGCAATGTAAGTGGGGCAACACTTTCATTGTCAATTGAGCATACTATATTCTTTGAAACTGTGGAAAAATATCTATTGAAGCTATCTGAAGATACAGTGGATTCTATATGATTGGACTTTAATCGATTACGTTCTGAATTGACTATTTGCCAAACTGTCTTGTTTTTATTATTAGTTGTCAGTATTCTTTTGGAATAGAAGCTCCTTTTTTCCAGTTTAATTGCTCGTTTATATTCATAGCGGCAGTTCCTAAAGGCTAGCCAATCTTGCTCTAACCTTATTGATCTAAAAATTTCCTTGTATCTAAATAATTGCTTGCGCATATATTTGAGCCTCTTTGTGAACCATCTCAAACCATTATTCGTATTATCAATTTTCCGCAAAGGAAAACAAGCATCAATTCCTAAATTTAGAGCATTGAGTATTGAATTTGCTAGATTAGCAGCAGTACGCGTATTACTCTCAGGAAAAGACCAGTCAAAATCGTGAAGCTTGCTGGCGAATAACGGTAGCCCCTTGCTAGTAACGTTTCTTATCTTAAAGGAGCTACTACAACGGGCTTGCTTGATTGATCGAATGAACATGTAAATTCCACAATGGTCAGAAAGGTTTAGATCAAGAACACCGGTAATACGGCTCTCAATATCAATATTCGTCAGTATGTTATCCAGACAGGAGCTGGTGGAAGAAGTAATACGCGTAGGTTCGCTAATATAATGTGAGAGACCATATGATGAAAAGGCATTAATAACGTCAGCAGCAAGATGCGAGCAGCTGGTAAGGTCTATGTTAAAATCACCGAGTATGATTAGATTTTTATATCTAGGATACAAATAATCAATCATAAAAACTAGTTTGTCTTTGAATATGGCTATATCACCACAAGAGGATGACCTGTATGTGGTGATCACAGCCATATTTTTAGATGGGGCTGCAATTCCACAAAACTCTGCATGAAATGGTATACAAAAGCTGCCGAGATCAATATCTTTGAAATCTGAATGACTGTTAACCAAACCTGCAACGCCACCATGCGCATTGGCAGGCCTACAGAAGGAAGAAATAAGAAAGTAACTATTAAAATTAATCGAATACAATTTATCATTGTTCAGCCAATGTTCCGATAAGCAAATTATATCAAAGTAACATTCACTCAACCACAAACACAGCTCATCTACTTTGCTAGATAAGCCTTGGATGTTCAAATGCATTATTGAGAGACCATATGTAGTAGAACAGTCCTTATCTGCAGAATGAGAGGACATCTCACAGTTCTCTTGAACGCCGGCCATCTGCACCACGCTCTGATCTCTTGAAATCTCCTTTGGTATTTCTGGCTCGAAAAAATCGGTTCAACAGAACACCTGTAGGCCAGATGTTACTATCCATAATGGTGGAAGCTTCGTCGACTGGAACAGATACCTTGAAAGATGAGTACCTCTCGGGATATCTGGCTGTCAACCTCTCGACCTTTACATTTGGAGCAACTGCTTTCAAATAATCCGAGAGAATCTTTTCGTCTGTTTGTGGATCAAGGCGCGTCACATGATTGTGTCTGATAGATTTCGCTGTAGCAGCCTTTAAGGGATACCTTTGTAAACCAGACATACTACCTATTAGTAAATTTTTGGGCTTACGTTTGCCATCATCTACATTAGTTTCTTTATCAAAATCATTTTTAAAATTTATTAAAGTCTTGCAAACACTGTTAGCCTTAGCGTTATGTATAGCTTCTGCGACTAGCGTTTTGCTTATAAGCTGTTTGTCGAAAGTAAGATCGCCCCTGTGCATCGTCTCTGAAATTGAAACTGGTGGTATCGCTGTTGTTACAGTATTCAATGTTGACGACGATGCCAGTATAGCCGCGGTAGCCGCGTTTGACTGGACTGATTCTGTTATACCTGATGGTTCAGTTGCTGCAGCATAAGACTTGTTAGGTGTGAGGAACTGCTTCAAAAATAATAACTGACCACTCAGGGCAGCTATGGTGGTGTTTTGTTGTTCAATTTAAAACAAGAAAGAGTTATAATTGAATGCTGTCTCGGCCAACTGAAACGCCGGTTTCCTATCCTACAGTATATTCGCCGCGTAAAATTGGAAAATGTTCCGACAATAATTATTGTTTGTATTGTACTCCATAATGTTGCGACGAGCTTGGGCGATCCTGACTTTGATTTAGTTAAACAAGACCCAGACGAAGATGAAGGAAATCATGAGAATGACGAACTTCCTCTCCGCCAACTAGGTCAACAAATAATAAATAGTTTTACTGATTAAACTGTATTTATAAGTTATAATAAGTTTTATTTTCGTGAACGTCATAAGATACAGGTGGCCTCTGACGCTGCATCATTTCTTATTTCGTTTTATAATACTCTTGTTGTAAAATGCTTATTTGGTATTGCTGTAACAGCACTAGACGTTGCAGTTCTTTTGTAGTTAACCCTTTGGTTTCCTCAGTTTCGTATTTCTCTGGTACTAATTTTCTTTTTGGTGGCAATCTCTTCTGCATTGCTTGCGCTGTAATACCAACTGTTTGCTCACTGCGCTCGGTATATAGTTCACTTCCTTCTTCTTGAACACTACCAACCTGAATGGCACCTCTAATTTTCCCAATTGTAGGATTACAGTCACCTTCCATAGCTATCAGCAACTTTTTTTCCCAATCTAACAATTTAATTGCTTTATTACCAGTTTTTTTCTTATATCTGTTTTTTTTTTCAATCTTGATTTCATGTTGTTGATTTTTTTTAATAAGCCTTTAGTATCTAATGGTTTACCGAATGTTGATTCCTATTTTTTCAACATCTTCTTCTAGGCATCGTCCTTTCTCATTTTTATTTTTGGCACTTGTGACTTTTGGAAAATAATGGGAGCAATGGCAATTTCATCTGCGATGAACTGCAGGTCGTTGCCATTATTTTCTATAGTTGCCTCATAACTTGAGGATGACATGCTTATTAATTTGATAAAAAACTGTATCCAGTGAAAATACGGAACGGTCTGTGTAAGCTCTGGGGTACAACTGTCAGTGATGCTGAATGAGCGAACTCCCACGCCAACCACAAGCTGAAACAAGTCAGGACATGTCGCTCAAGATACAAATACCAGTCAACCTTTTACTTCTTCTTGGAGGATAACCTCGCAAGTATAAGGTAATCATTATGAATATGAAAACAAGGATATGCTTATACCTTACGCTTCCGAGGATATGCTTCTCTTTTATGAATACGGCTCATTATGTGAGAAAAAACTCAATACACTATTAAACAAAAATAAGATCTGAGGCATACTTTGTTTTGATGCTTTGCATCCTAGTTTTGATTTGTTGAATTTTATTTTCCTATGATCTATGGAGTACCAGCACATAGTGAAATTGTAAACTTAGCTATAGTTTATATACTTGGCTTTGATAAGATTACCTGACTGATTTCTGTGAAAACCCAAGACACCTTTGTAAGAGAACTGGTAGAGGTATGGGTTTTGCGAGTGTTTCACCAACTGCTCAGCGAACTTTAGCACAGATTTTACAAAATCATGATCACTCATAAGCTGAAAATAATCACCGAATTAAGTGAGCTTTCACATGAAAAGTAATAATACAGTCATACATATCACTGATCACAGATTTCATTGAATCACAGGAAATTAGATAACTTGACGGATTAAGATTCAGAAGCCAACAAGAAAAACTTAATAAATGTCTATTCGATGGTGAATTACGTACATTTATTCGTTTCTTGCAAATACAAAACTTCTTGTAGTATCAAAGATAATATTGCAGTTGCATCACAAAAGTAGGTTGAACATTTCTCGGCCTGACAATGACAGACTGCGATGATTTTCAGTTGAAAAATGATTAGATTTTTTTACAGAATTCCCTTCGACTCGAACACACTTGATCCAACGTTTCCGACATAAGGATTCCTTCTCCGAAGTGGAAGACTGGTTGACAGTTGATCAAGAGTGTTGGAATAGCAGTTCCCCATAATTGTTGTTTCTGCCGTTTAGTGGTAACTAATCGCCATATAAAATCGGTCAGATTCATATTGAACTGGTCCAAACATTGCTGGGAAAGGCGCTTGCACATCCGCTTTTGATCAGCATTCAACAAATGCGGTATCCACCCTGTAGACCCTTCTCGTCCCCGGTTCCTTGAACAAGATGTCTTGAACTCATTGGAATTTCTATGTCATGTCAGGCCAAGGACTTTCCATTCCATCTTCGAATTGTATGAATTTTAGTAACATCTGGCAGAGTTGAAATAGTTTCGTGAAGATGTAATTTAGTTACACTAAATACTATGCAGGGTATTCGAAAAATAGACGGAGAGTGTGATTCCTTGTTATTTTTTTTTAATTGATATCGTAAAAAATATTAATTCGATTCTGTTGAAATTTGGCGATAGTATTTATTGTATGAAGAGGCTGATTTAGTCCTAAGTAGATAAAATTATTAGAACCAGTGACGTCCCGAAGGCATCTTGTGTCACGGGCCAACCTTTTTTACTATTTATCACTTATCCGTAGTTTGAATTTCTCTTCATTGATAATAGAGTGCCCATTCCTAGGCCAAACACTCTTCACTGATTTTCTTTTGACAAATTTAATAGTTTATTGATTGTATATTTCACTATTATATCTTTCTTTCTCAGCGATTCAGTATGGTGTTGACGATCAGCAAACAACTGTAGTTTTTCTCCGTTAGTTGGTTTCCTATAAAACATACAAGATCTTCTTCAAGGCCACTCAAGATACCTTTTTCTAGGACGTTACATGTGCTGTTTCCGTTGAGGTCGTGGTGCAGGGGTCGTTTCGTCATTTTCCAGACTCTGGGATATTAGGCCCCAAGCGCCAATTCATGGACTAGGACCCTTTTTTTTGTGTAACTTAAGTTTAGTCATTTTGGTTTGGGTGCTACGTCTTCCATTCTTTTATGGGATTTTGACCCTCAGTGGTAAGTTCTTTTTATATACCTTCGGACCACGTGCCTAAGTGCGTGTCCTGATGACGTTCATTCAATATCTGCTTTCTTTTAGTCAATAGAAACAGAAGATAATCATCATCCTTTCTCCTCCAGTTGGTTGCATCTTGTTGCAGTTTTGCCAATTGGTGGAAGCCATCCCCTTGGAAAAAAACCTGATGTGAACAGATAAAATGTCATTCTAATTTATAATTTCATAGATCTTTATACATTTATTATTGCTTATTGAAATTCTTAGAGACTTCTTGATTTTATTGGACATTCTACGTATTCAAATATGGGGGCAGTGCCTACGTAGCACCTTCTATTGCATTGATCATGATTTTGATTTTTGAGCTGCCATAACCATAGAACAAGGGTATATTAGTTCAGTACATTTTTATCTTTTTTGCCTTTACTTTACTTTTCTTGTCCAAAAAAAATGTACATAGTTTTACTTCAAGTGCAATTATTTTCAATGAGTAGTTTTATCTCAGACAGAGAGTAGAGTATATTTTTAAGCAGTCTTCCTCTCTCTAGGGTTTTTTTTACTACCATAATGTTTGGCAACGAGGCAAGCAGCCCCTGCCCAGTGACGTGCCCACTACTGGCCACATTTTGACCAGAGTTGAGGACGTCTCGGCCGCGCCTGACAAAGAAGACCTACAGATAAGTTGAATATTTAGGCGCAAAATATCTGTAAATACTTCGGGCGTATACTACGGTAGACGTTTTGCGGGGTTATCTCGAAAAATAATTTTGTCAGGTTGTATTTAAGATTTATAACATCCTTTATTTTTTTTATTACTCGCACTTCAGTAGTGGTGCACATGTGCGTTTTTTTTTATTAATCAATATATTGTGATTCATTTGATATCTTGATTTATTTCGTCATCTCTGTTAGACTCTCCTTTTGTGTGTTCCAACTAACATCTAGGGGAGTTGTGGCTTAATCCGTCCTAAGTCACTGGCGCTCTTAACTCCCCTACTCTCCGCTTTATTGAGCTAGGGCCTGAATTTGCACGCCACCAGACAACTGTTTTGCTTGGACCAACCGTCATTGTGTTTTATTAATTAACCAAAAGAAGGCGTGGCACTTGGCGAATATTATTGGCAAAAAAATGTACGCCACTGCCTTTTTTGTAATTTTAATATTGGTTGTTTGATTAAGCATTTTCCGAGAAAAAAATAAAAACCGGTTTATTGCATGTTACTGGACAAAATTGGTTTATTAATTTTTGCTAAAAAAATCACAACTGCCTCGGAAAACCAATATTGAAAAATGTGTCTTGTATTACAACAAATAATATTGGCAAATTTTGACAGAATGGAGCAAATATTTTTCCCGTATCTTGAAAACATGTTTATAGGAAGTTTTTTCATATGTTTTAACAAGGAATCATCCTCTAGAATATATCCGACTATTCTTCGTATTACACTTTTCCTTTTCATTGTTCAAAAGTTTCAACTGGCTAGATTTTACAAATATTTGTTAAGTACGTTATGCAATTATTTTCGGCCAGACTGCTGGTTGTGTGGCAGATGCGTAATTGTGTTGAAGTCGGGTTGCCGTGAGAACAACGCTTAACAGTTTGCAGCACTTTTTGGTCAATTTTTGCATTGTGCTCAGAGTGGATTAAATATTGAGTCACATCTGATTATACGTACCGTGACAAGTTTCCTAGGGTTGTCCACATAGTTTCCTCCGGAAGTATAAAAGTTCATCAATTCAGCTTTGATGGTATCCTTATTCTCCTCAGTGACATGCATATCATCTGGTATTGAATCACGACTTTGTGTGAATATTTCAGATATGTAACCGAGACCTTCTTTATCTGTAACGAGAATGTTGTTTCTAAAATAATGGTATTTGTCGCCAAAATCATAAGAGTGCAGTACAAAGCTGCATATGCGAAGTTTGCTAATAGAAAAATGGCAAAGTAGGTTAACTCTGCACTTCACACGCAACGCTGCCACCTATCCATAAATAACTACCGTAATCTTAGCAGGCTAATGCAGTGCTGTTTATTGTGGAAAGTCGAAGAACTGGATAATGGTTGGTTCATCCTTTCTGTCATATATAATTGAACACCTACAAACGTTAGAAGCAGTTATTGAAGGCCGTATCGTCAGTCGTTCCTACAATTGTAGGACGCCTTTATGGTCTCCTTGATTTCCATAGTCTCTTCTCTCCTTCAGAAAGGCTGGGGCATTTCTAGGTTTCTACTGTCCGTGTCAGCGTCAGTGCTCTCCTATTGTGAGACTATTGTTCTCTTTTTGAACTGTAGGAAATTTGAGGCTGATATAACAAATCAAAAACATGAACAATTTGCTGCAAATAGATATTTGTGACATAACCTCAAAATGGAGTGCTGACACGGAACAGTAGAAAGCTATGAAAATTGAGGAGGCCATAAAGCTGTCCTACAAATGTGGGACTGACTGACGGTACTACCCTTACTGAATTTTGTAGCACTCTGTGTCATGCATTAATGTAACATATATCTATTAGAGTAACACTTAACCTGTGGTTTATGTGTATAGTTGCCTTTCCAACAAAACAACATGTATTGACAGAATCTTCTTCGCTGTAAACGTTTCAATCACAAAGGTGATCTTATTTAGTACAATGACAATACATCTTATTTATCTGAATTTTAGTTGACAGTTCGTTTGTTTTTTCTTGGAATAATTTGACTTACTTGTCAGTAAGAAATGCCTCTATCCAATCTTAAAGCTTACCTCGTGCATCAAAATGCTCAATTTTTGTACATCAAATGTTTATGCGGAACTTTTTCAAAAGCTCTTTCGTAAACAAGACATATTATATCTATGGGATTTCCTTGATCATACACAGCTGTACATGTCATATAACATCCATAGAAACAACTTGTTTTCGAAATTTATAGTTTTTTTGGAGATCGTTGGAGAACCCTGTATACTATCGAAATAATTCAGCGCAGAGCGCCATCTGTTACCAGAATCGACCACTGCGAGAGTATATATATATATATTGTTTGATGGCACAGTCACCATTATAACCGCTAGAGGCTGACGATTCTGGCGGCATAATACATGTAATCTAATAACTATTGAATAATATTAAGCATCATGCTACCGACCAAAGATACTGTCTTCGATAGAGAATAGTGGCTATCATTTTTCTCGCTGTCGCAGAGACAAAGCCTATACCATGCTGATGAGTTGCCAAACAGCACGAAACAACTATCAATGGTTGGATCTCTTGGGTCGGTGGGACAAAGTAGCTTGTTTGGTTTCCTGTATACTACCTGACTTACCTTCCATGAGGAAATAGTCTTCCTCGCTAGTAGCACCGAGTGATACTGGTACTTTATTGAAATCTCCCTCTTCCATAGCTTCGTATGCCTGTTTGGTCAAAAAAGCACCATCGTGCTCGTGCTCGTATACCGGCGCAAAGAAAAATCCTTGGTACAACTGTAGATAGCTTTTAGGATTCTGGAAGATAATAAGCATATGCGTATGGTGACTAAGTTGTACTTTATACACCTGAACCGGGTCAGGTCATGTTGCAATTCTTGCAGTTATTCTAAGACGATATTATCTGGCGCTTCGTTTCACACCACCCCCAAATTTTAAACCACATCGTATACTCTACTAACAAAATTTTTACATCATAGTAGGCGGATAACGTACCATATGACAAATAAAAAATATAAAGCAATTATCACATTCAGTTCGACAGGGACGTCCTAGCTACAGCGCAATATTGCTAATTTATAATAACGGCTGAAAGATAATATATCCATTCTGAATAAATTATCCTTGCTTGATTCGATAAAATGAGCGTTGTTTCAATGACAAAAAAGTAAAACTCAATGAAGTGATCTAAAAATCGCCTGATATTTACCAAGAAGCCCCTCATTTCTCCTAAGAAGATTGAGTGAGATTGGACTGAACCCTCCACCTGAACAGTTCCAAGAAACATTATCTCTACCTTTTCATTACAGTGGACCCCCCGATAATCCGGCCCCTGTCTAATCCGACATGTCTTTGAATGTTACATACATACATATTTGACAATCTTCGCTAATGAGGATCGCGCAGGTTTGAACAGGTTACAACTTGTACGCGCCACCGCTATCGTGCTCGACGCGTAAGCATTGTTTTACTTAGTTTGAATTTGACTACATGTGATAGCGGTACGGCCTAGCGTGCGTTCATTGTTTACTATTTATTCATTGTGTATTAAGTATAGTGTACCTAGTAATGTCATCACAAACTCAGAAGCGAAAGTACAAAACATTGACAATTAAAGAAAGATGTGATATTTTAGACCGCTTAAATCGCAATGAAACTTTCAGTAGTTTAGCAAGTGAATACGGAGTAGGCCGATCTACAATTTATGACATTAAAAGTAACCACGGGAAGATCAAGAAATTCGTGTCAACTACTGACTGTGGGCCAGGCAAGAGACAGCTGAACATCCAGAAGTGGAAGAAGTTTTGTACATGTGGTTTCTCCAGGAAAGAAATAGGCATGCACCAATTTCAGGACCCATGTTGGCCATGAAAGCTAAGTTTTTTATAAGAAAATAACAAAAAAAGATGATTTTGTGGCCAGCAAATGATGGCTAGAACGTTTTAAAAGTCGTCATGGCATACGTTTAATGACTATTACAGAAGAGAAACTTTCAAACGATGCCACCTGCATAGAGCCCTTTAAATTAAGATTTTTGCAAAAGATGAACGATTTAAGTCTTGACCCGTCACAGGTGTACAATGCAGACGAATCAGAGCTTTTTTGGCGTGTGATGCATAACAAAACTTTCGTTTTTTGTAACGAAAAATCCGTACCTGGACGAAAAGTACGTAAAGAGCGTGTAACCATACTACCATGTGCTAAAGCTGCGGGCACACACGCGCTTAAGATGATGGTCATTGGGAAATCTAATAAACCACGGGCATTCAAAAACATTGATTTACCTGTACACTATTACGGACAAAAAAGTGCATGGACGACAAAAGACCTTTCCAAAAAGTGGTTTGATGAATGCTTCGTACCTGAAGTTAGAAAATGGTTAAAATATCATAATTTTCCTCAAAAAGCGTTGTTGCTTCTTAATAACGCTCCCGGTCATCCGTCTGAAGAAGAACTAACATCTGAGGATAAATGCATCACTGCGATGTTTCTTCCGCCAAATTGCACTGCACTGATTCAACCAATGGACCAGAATATCACTCAGTTTGTCAAGCAAGACTATAAGAAAAACCTACTTCTGAGAGCCGTATCAAAAGACCAACCAATAGAAAAAACATTAAAAGAATCTAATATTAAGACTTGGTTTTTGCTCTTTGTCAGTCGTGGAATGCGTTACCGTCATCAACTATTAAATCGTCTTGGAAAAAGTTTTGGCCAGATATAGTCACCACTCCTAGCAACGTTCCACAAATCAGTGTAACTTCGGAAGTTATAGAACAAGTCGCTACTGAAACACAGATAAGTCCGGAAGATTTGGAAATCTGGTGCCGTGGAATGGATAAAGAGGAAAATGTTTTTCATGAAATGTCTGACGAAGAAATTATAAAAGAGGTTTCTAATTATACAACAAACAATCAGGAAAGTAACGACGACGTGATTGCAACTGCTCCACAAGTCACAGCACAAGACGCAATTAACGCTTTTGAGCTAGGTTACAATGGGCTGAAGAGAATGGTACATCCTACAACAAACTTTACTTTTGAGAAGACTGAGGGACAAAGCTCTGATCTCGCGTTATAACAACCTTAAACAAAACAAAAATTGATGAATATTTCCAAGCTTTATAATTTGATAAATTCAATAATGATTACATAAATGCGTAAATTGCTATCTATGGGCTCTACAGTGTGAGGCCTCAATTAGTTATTATGATGTTAAAATTTCGTTGGATTATACTATCTTTTTCTAATCTTATTTGTAAGTCTCTTTAGCCTACCGTTGTTACTATCGCCAAGCAAGCATCATTAATTATCTCTGTTGGTATGTTTTTGAGAAACTCGTAAATAGTTTGAGAAGTATTATATTTATGGTAGTTTGCAGGATCTATATTTCTGATCAATTCCCTCGAATATAACTGGTAGTTCCTTTGGTACGCCCATGGACTTAGCGATGTCCCACTGAGCAAGATTGCGCTTCTGAACAAACCTAAAATGTTAATAAAAAAGCGATAATAGAGGAATGTTTCAGCAATCAGGGTGGTCCCAGAAGTATCCGTCTCAACGAAGAAAACACAAAATTTTTATAAAAAATGTATTTATTTTTCAACATAATCTCCTTTGAGCTCTATACACTTTTCCCAGCGATGTTCAATAAGTTCGATACCCTTTTTATAATAAGATATCAGGCTCCTCAAAATAGCCATTAACTGCCGACATCACTTCTTCATCGTCAGAAAATCTTTGACCACTGAGCCATTTTTTTCAAGTTTGGAAACAGAAAATAATCCGAGGGGGCTAAATCTGGTGAATAGGGTGCATGAGGTAGCAATTCAAACTTTAATTCGTTAATATTTTGGCCATTGCAATAACGGATTTGTGAGCTGGTGCATTGTCTTGATTAAACAACACTTTCTTCTTAACCACATGCGGCCGTTTTTGCTTGATTTTATCGCTCAAACGTTGTAATAAGTTAATAATAGTCAATGAAAATTATCCCACGCGCATCCCAAAAAACCGACGCCATAACCTTGCCTGCAGATGAAACGGTCTTCGCCTTCTTTGGAGCCGGTTGTCCCTTTTGAGTCCATTGTTTTGATTGTTCTTTTGTCTCGGGTGTGAAGTGATGGACCCATGTTTCATCCATGGTTATGAAACGACGCAAAAATTCTTCTTTGTTGCTGTGAAACTTCGCTAAACACTCAATTGACACATCTTCACGGATTGTGAGCAATCGCGGCACCCATCTTGCACACAGCTTTCTCATGTCCAAATTTTCAGATAATATGCGATGAACCTCACTTTTTGAATTGCCTACTATGTCTGCTAGCTCGCGCACTTTCAGTCGACGATCATCCAGTACCGCTTTGTGAATTTTCTTCACCATTTCTGGAGTCGTCACCTCATTTGGTGGACCCACTGCGATGCTCGTCTTGGCAGCTCATACGGCCTCGTTTGAACTCTGCTACCCAATATTTTACTGTTGTAAACGAAGGAGCAGACTCGCCCAGAGTAAAGTCCAGTTCAGCTTTTATATTGGTTGGGCTGAGGCCTTTGAAATAAAAGTATTGTACCACATAACGATTACCAATTTTCTCCATTTTTACAAATTCACTGAAAACGTTCAGTATTAATGGCTGCCAAATAAATACTAACAACGTGGCGTCTTCAAACTTGACACATATGCTTATAGGTTGCATACTTTCTAATACAATGATATTTTTCAAACAACTATCGCCATCTCTAGGTCAGGCCGGGTACTTCTGGGACCACCCTCGTATGTTATGAGACAACAAATAACAGAAATTTCAAGAATATTGTTTTTTCTTCTTTATGTCAGTACTATCTATGTAGAATGGTCGGTTTCACAAACCGGTCGTTTTCTCAATATGCCCTATAACTTCACTGGTACAAACTTAACTTATCCCATATCGTTGTACCTTTAGATAACGGACTCATAATCTGATAAGCACAAGAAGCAGAGCCAGCACTCTGACCAAAAATTGTAATTTTGGTTGGATCACCACCAAAATGATGGATGTACTGATTGGCCCACTTTAAGGCCAAATTCTGATCTTTCAATCCAGCGTTTCCAGGTACCAAATCATCTCCAGTCGAAAGGAAACCTGAAAGTTATTTTTGTTGTTAAATGTCTGAGTTTAAGTAATGACCAATAAAAAATAACCACAAACCACATGTTCTTACAGATATCAGAGGTATACCGGCTTTTTTCAACAGCTCAGCTGGCATTTCGTCAGCTCCAGTCAACTATCCATCTTTAAGCTCCTGATTGATAAATTTTACTTTTACATTCCGAAGAATATCGCTGATTCGAAAAAAATTTACGTCACAGAATAAGCAAAATTGAACCTAATCTGCCTCATCGTATTATGCAAAAAAAAACATGACTATCTGGGGGAGCTTCTGCCAGACGTAATATTAGAAAAAAGTCTGCACATCTGGTGCTTAATTAAAATAATAAAAAACATTTATTTTTAGTCCAGGGAAAGGTCTG